AGAGCAAAGAAACACTGCATGGTTCAAAATTGGGAAGGGTGTACGCCAGGGATGTGTCCTATCTCCATACCTTTTCAATCTATATGCAGAACAGATTGTCCAGGAGGCTGGGCTCTGTGAGGAGAAATGTGGCATTAGGATTGGAGGAAGACTCATCAATAATCTGCATTATGCAAATGACACAACCCTGCATGCTGAAACTGAGGAGAACCTGAATCACTTGCTGCGAAAGGTCAGGGAATGCAGCCTTTGGTATCAATTAATGCTCAATATCAAGTAAACAAAGAGCTCACCACTGGGCTGATTGGCAGCATCATGATGGATAGTGAAGAGATTGAGATTGTTAACAGCTGTAGTTTGCTTGGCTCCACAATCAACACTCTTGGCACCAGCAGCCAGGAAATTAAAAGACATATTGCATTGGGAAAGTCTGTAGTGTGAGACCTCTCTAAAGTACTGAAGAGTAATGATGTCAGTCTGGAGACTAAGGTGTGCTTGATACAGGCCATAGTCTTTGCAGTCACTTGCTATGCATCAGAGAGCTAGACAATGACTAGGGATGATAGAAGGAGAATTGATGCCTTTGAGCTGTGGTGTTGGAGAAAAGTATTGAATAAGCCATGGACTGCTAAGAGAACGAACAGGTTTGCCCTGGAGAAGGTGAATCCAGGCTGCTCCTTAGAGGCAAGGATTCTGAAACTTTGTCTGACATACTTTGGACATGTTGCAAGGAGGGACTAGTCCTTGGAGAGGGATATCATGCTTGGGAAGGTAGAGGGACAGCACGAGAGAGGAAGACCCTCTATGAGATGGATTGATTCAGTGACTGGGGTAATCGGGGAGGGTGTGTCAGAGACAATGAGATTGGCAAAGGATAGAGCAGGGTTTAGGGCTGTTGTACATAGGGTCGCTATGAATTGCAGGCAACTCAACGGCACATAACAACAACAATATAATTCCCTTACTAGTCATTTTGTTTGTTTCCAAATCCTGGATTATTTCCAGCCATTTGTTGTTATAACTGGTGGCGGTTTTAGGTGCTATTAGGTTGGAGAAGATTCATAGTGATCTTGTGAACAGCAGATCTGAACCTTGACCTGTCCCATGCTACCCTCTTCATCTCTGACACCCTTGAGGTCATTGCTGCAGCTACCATGTCAGTCCCGAATTGTTAAGGGGCTTCCTCTCATACTCACCCTTCACCTTTCCTGGCGTACTATCCCTTTTCAAGGAACAGCCTCTCCTAGCAACATACCTAGAGTATCTGAGATGAAGCTTCACCTTACTTGTGTCCAAGGAGCACACTGCTTGTACTTTCTCCAAGACATAATTGGTTTTTTGGCAGACCATGGGATATTCAGTATTCTTCTCCAACATCACAAATCAATGTCATCAGTAATTCTCTCATTATTATTAATTGCCGGGCTCAGATGCATAACAAATGATGGAAAAGACTGAGGCCTGAATCAAGCACATCTTAATCTTTAAACTGACATCCTAGCTCCTCAGTAATTAGGAGAAGTCCCCCAACAGTGGACTTGCCCAATTCAGTATATCTCCTGACCTCCTGACTGATGGTACCTAAGGTATTGGAATTATTGACAATTTCAATCCTTCTTCCTTCTATCATGATATTGTTTATTGGTCCAGTGGTGAGGAATTTTGTCTTCTTGATGTTGAGATATAATCTATATTGAAAGTAGTAATCTTTGATCTTCTGTAACAAGTGTTCCTCACTTCGAACAAGCCTGCTGATAAATTAAATATCTTGGAGCATGTGAGCTTTCCCTGGATCACTGAGAGAAATGGCTGCTTATTTTAAAACTTTTTATTGGGAAAGTGCCCATGAGACGGTTGGTTGTTTACATTTAATTCCCACCAGTTGTATATGGAAACTAGTATTTGAAGTTTGTCCCTCTTGAAATAACAGATTCACTGTTAATTTTCAAGACTATATTTGTTACATACCAAATTGTAAAAATGACCTTTCATGAAAAACACACCCTACTCAGTTCTCAAAGCATGACTTGTTTATGTAATTTTCCTCAGGGAACTCATATTCAAGTTTTGTCACAGAAATGTTTTTTAGTATTTCTCACTTATGTTACCCAAAACATTAAAAAAGGCAAGTACATTGCAGATGAACCTAACTAGGACACAAAAGACCCTTTACAAAGAAAACTGCAAACACTTCTATGAGAAACAATATAAACATCTAAAGAAGTGGGAAAATATTCCCTGTTTATGGTTAGGAAGACTCAATGTAGTGAAAATGACAGTCATACAAAAAGCAATCTACATGTTCAATGCAATCCCAACACAGATACCAAATTCATTTTTCAAGGAAATTGAAAGGGAAATATTCAAGTTTATTTGGAGAGAAAAGAGACCATGAATAAGCAAAGAACTTTTGAGAAACAAAAATGAAGTAGAAGGCATAGCAGCACTCCCTGACTTCAAAACCTCCTACATAGCTATAATAACCAAAACAGCATGGAACTGGTACAATGACAGGCCCATAGAACAGTGGAACAGAATTCAGAACCCAGAAAAGACCCAACTATCTCTGGTCAACTTATATTCGACAAGGAAATAAAACCTATCAAATAAGGAAACAAAAACCTCTTCAACACATGGTGCTGGCAAAACTGGACTGGTATGTACAGAAAGCTGGAACAGGATCCATGTCTCATACCGTACACCAACTCAACTCACGGTGGATCCGAGACCTGTGAGTAAAACCTAAAACCATAAAGTTCATAATAGACAAAATCGGACCAAATTTGGAAGGCGTAGTCTTTAGTATAAAGAGACTGACAAGTATAGCCAGAAATGCACAATTTAGGGGGAGAATGAGACCTTCTAAAGATTAAATCCCTGTGTGCATCAGAACCTTTTTCCAATAGGGTGAAAAGAAACTCTACTGACTGGGGAGAAAAAAAACCAAAATAAAACATTTGGCAATACCATCTCAGACAAAGGTCTCGTAATAGAAGTTTACAGAATACTACAGGGTTCAGGACTGTTGTTCATGGGGTTGCTATGGGTCATACTCAGCTCAACAGCACTTAACAACAACAGCAACACCATCAGGCCTTCACAAGAAAAGAATTGATAACCCAATTACAAAATGGGTAAAAGACATTGAAAGAATTTTCACAGAGGAAAATATTCAAATAGCCAGTAGGCATGTGAAGAAATGCTCAAAATTCACCGGCAGTAAGAGAGATGCAAATCAAAGTCATAATGAGATACCATCTCACCCCAGTATTAGTGGCAAAGTTTAGCAGGTAAGCAAGCAATAAATGTTGGAGAGTATGTGGAGAGGTGGGAACCGGCATACACTCTTGGTGGATTGTAAAATGGTACAATCATTTTGGAAGGCAGCTTGGAATTTCCTTAAAAAGCACAACATAGAAACTCTGTATGACCCAGCTATTGTGCTATATAAAACTGTTTGAAGAGTTGTACACCAATGTTCATAGCAGTGTTATTCATCATGACAAGAACATGGAAACAGCCTAAATGTCCAGTCACAACCAAATGGGTTGAGAAATCATGATACATTAACACAATAGAATATTATGCAGCACACAGGAGCAAAGATTTTGAAAAATACTATATAATTTTGGAGAGACTGGAGAGCATTATGCTGAGTGAAATAACTCAGTCTCGTACGAACAAATACTGTATAGGTTCATTATTGTAAAAATAGAAGGACAACTAGTAAAACCTGTATGAAGATCCAGTGGGGGAAGGAGTAGAAGAGCAGAGGGGTGAGGGTGAGTAAGGGGGAAATCACAGAGTTGCATAATTTGGTGGGTAGAGGGAGATGGTAAAGGACATGGGAAAGATCCAGTGGGGACCTGAAAAGATAGGATAATGTAGACATAGTCCAGTGGTGATTAATTTCATAAAACACAATGTTTAAATCATTGTATGAAAAGTAATGTCCGTGAAGGAAAGTTGCTTAATTAATTCTTAATTAATCACTTAATGAATTCTTAAGTGAAAATGACTCTTGTTTTAATCACTTTAGCTCCTTGATGGTGAAGAATACTATGATTCTTAGTACAATTTAGGTTTCACTGATTGTGTGAAGACACCGGTAGTTATTCTGTTGCTTTGGTACTATTAGTGCAAGCTGAACAGCAGTGAAAAAAGGTAGACAGTACCCAGTATTACTATAAAGCTATTTTAAACCCCCTAGACACCTTGGGTGTCGGAGACACTCTCAGAGCTTTTAAATTGACACTTTGAGAGTACTGTTCTAAATGTCCTTGTCTGTATTTTTTTTTCCTTGTTACTCCCTTATTGACTGATTGACTCACCATGGATATTGGAAACCACTGAAATGCTCTACTGCAATCAAAAGATTGGAGGTTTAAGTACCCTGGAAGAAAAGTCTGACAATCTTTTCCCTGAAAATCCACCAGTGAACACTGTGAAGCACAGCTCTGCTCTGCTGCAGGTGACGTCACTGGGAATCAGAATCGATTCAGTGACAAATGGTTTTCAGAGCAGTTTAGAATGCTTTGTTTTGCATACAATAAAATTAGAATGCTTTCATGATTAAATACATGCTGCTTTTCTGTCCTCTGTTAGGTTCATCGTTGGGTCAATTATGAATCGATGCTGAAAGAATGTCTTGTTGGCAGAATGGCCGTTAAACCTACTCTTTCTAGAGGTGAGTGGTGCTAACTCAGCCTTAAAATTGGCACTGGTATTTGTCACACATGGACCTTTGGAAAACTTAAATTTCCACAAATAAATAATGAATAATATTTTTCACTGATCTCCTAATCTAATCCCTGTAAAGATTTTTTCTTTGCTCTTTCTCTACAATAAAATAATGATTTTACCTTAAAAATCAGACGTATTTTGTTGGGGATAATTTATGGGAACATTCTGGAAGGGAAAGAATATTACTCTTGAGTTTATCATTAGTTTATTATAGTTTATTATTTTTATCTAGTTTTAAAGTTGCATAGAAAATTAGGTACTTTACTTGGTCAGTGTTGATTTTTAAGACTAGTTTTTAAAATTTATTTTTAGAATTTACAAGTAGTAAATTCATGTGATTTAAACTTTTTTTCTTCACCCATATTATTTCTCTTTGCCTTGCATTCTGCTATATCTTTTGCATCTTGTGAAAAACCCATGCTCTTATTCTAGACTATGTTCAAACAGTAACCTGATTTTTTTATGTTCTGAACTGGGGCTCTACAATTTAGGTCGTGCTTTACTTTTCCTGTGTTCCTTTTGAGAAAACACCCTTTGATAATTTCAGACATAGGAGTAGTTACTTCTAGCTGTGAAGACCTTCCCCTCACCCAAGCACTTACACACATACTTGGAACTTAGGGCCACATGTGGATTTTAAGGAATGTCACAGGCTGAGATATGGCAAGGGGTTGAAACAAACACCCTTACCTATTAACCGTTAATTTTATAACTCTTTTTTTAAAACGAATTTCTATAATTTATTTAACTATCTCCTACCATAATACAGTCTGATTTCTCTGTACAGAGTTAATTTCTCTGATAATATTTTTAAACACTTTTTTAAATTGGTTTGCTTAAAAATTTTGTACACGTTGTGTTTCACACTATGACTTGTTCATATTGTTTTTATCACTTTTTTAATTATGTTTTATAAAATGAATCACCATTGGACCCATCATTACTCTGTCTTTTCACCCAAATCCTTCCCATTTTCTTCCCCCTTTCCCTCCCCACATCAAACTGCAACCCTGTGGTTTCATCCCAACCCATGCTAACCCCTCTGCTCCCACTCCTTCCCCCCTTGTGTTCCTATACATTTTTTTACTAATTATCCTTCTATTTTTAAAATAATTGACATTTCCTCAAAAAACGGAACGTAGAAACTCTGTATGACCCAGTTATTCCTTTACTAGGAATATACTCCAAGGAAATTAGAACTGAGATACAAATGGAGATTTGTATACCATTGTTCAGAGCAGTGTTACCATCTTAAGAACATGGAAACAGCCCAAATGTCCATAACTGAATGGAACAAGAAATTGTGGTACATTAACGCAGTGTATGTAGCACTCAGGAACAATGATTTTGAAAAATACTACATAACTTGAGAGAGACTGGAGAGCATTATGGTGAGTGAGCTAACTCAGTCTCATAAGGACAAATACAGCTTACGACCATTATTGCTTTTTAAAATTTATTTTATTTTATTAATTTTAATGAATATTTATAGAGATTCTGGATTTACCTTTATTCATTGTTGTACTTTTTCAATTCTTAAAGGCTATGTAATCTCTAAATGGAAAGACATGAAAATCAGTCTTGTCAGGCACAGAGGTAGATACTGGAATGTTTTGTCTGCCTTGGCTTTGTTCATGAGATAGTGGGAAGAAGAAGAAAGTTTTCTTTGAGAATACTTTACCACACTCCTACTCAGCCCTGGAGGCTTAGTGGTGAAGAGTTGTGCTGCCAGCCCAAAGGCAGGTGGTTCAAATTGGTCAACTGCTCTGAAGGAGAAATGGGGAGAGTCTCTGCCCATGTGATTTTACAGCCTCTGAACACTACAGCCTCTGAACACTTGGTGAACTGTCAACTATGAGTCAATACCATCTCAAGAGCACATAACACAACAGCAACTCACGTAAGTGTGAGAATCCAAATATAGTAGAAACCTTAAACTAAGAAATAAAATGGTCATTGGTGATGAGTTTTCCAGGCTGCCTATTAGATGCGTATACACAATTTTAATGAAGAAACTCACACTGAACTTATTCCCACACATATAGCTCAGTCATTTATGAGTGAGTATTTGAGCATGTTAAGACACTTGTCAGCTACTAAATATTTAAATCAGAAAAAACTGAAATTCTATCAATCTTAACTTTGTGTTTTTACTTACAACTGAAAAATTTAGCCCAGGGTCATCATTGTATGCAAAACATTGTTTCTTCTTCTTTAAATTCAAATTAGTAATGAAAACTCTCCTAATCTCAGGAAAGATGAAACAATTTATCATTATATAATAAACATTAAGAGAACACACAAGGAAACAAATCACCAGAAACAAGTAGTAGTAGAATTAGACCCTTGTTGTTATGTGCCATTGAGTCGCTTGTGACTTTGTGCGACCCTGTGTACAACAGCTCTAAACCCTGTTCTATCCTGTGCTACCTTTAATTGTCCCTGACACACCTATCCCCATTGCCCCAGTCACTGAATCAATCCATCTCATCGAAACTCTTCCTCCCTGTGCTGTCTGTTCACCCTCCCAACTATGACATCCCTCTCCAGGGACTGGTCCCTCCTTGCAGCATGTCCAGAGTAAGTCAAACAATGCTTCAGAATCCTTGCCTCCAAAGAGCAGCCTGGTTTCACCCTCTCCAGAATGAACCTGTTTGTTCTCCTAGCAGTTTATGGTTTATTCGGTAACCTTCTCCAACACCATAGCTCAAAGGCATCAATTCTCCTTGTATCATCCATAGTCATTGTTTAGCTTTCTAACTCAAAGCAAGTAATTGCAAAGAATTAGACTCTAGAATTTTACTATTTTTTCTTTCTCTTTTTCTGTCTGTCTCTCTCTTTGCTGATGAGTTGTAACCCATAACCCACTCTCTAATGAGTTTTTAAGAGGCTTTAAATTCATGAGAGGAGATTATCTTTCTCCCTCAGAGCTGCTGATGAATTTGAACCACCAGGAAGGCTCTGCTCTTGTGTTAGCAGTGCAGCTCCTTGTGGGCTACACCACCAGAGCTTCCTGTGTTACCAGATGTTGTTGTTGCTCTTGTGTGACATTGGGTCAGAACCAACCCATAGCTGACTCTCCATCAGATTTTTAGGATCCATAAATTGCATGGGAGGAGATTCCCTATCTTTCTCTTGTGGAGCATCTGGTGGATTCAAACGACATATTTTTGTTGGCAGCACAGTTTGTTACCAGTAAGTCATTAGAGCTCCTTATATTATACACAAAATAATTATGTTTAAAATATTTAGGCAAATGAGAATTAATTGATAGCATGAGTTTAAAAAATTGAGAGACTATGAATTAAAAATGCTTAACCAAATAATTAAATGGATTATAAATGATAAAAGAATTTCATGAACTGAAAGAACAGCAGAAATAAATTGGGGCCAGAGATACACACATACACACAAAATAGAAAAATAGGCAGGATTCAGTTTTGTTTTGTGACTTTAACCTCAGTAAGAGAAATATGCAGGAGACAAGGAAGAAACTCATAATAAGGCAGAAATAAGAACAGAATAGAAATAAGCAATATCTTAAGGGATAAAGCTTTGCAAATTTTCCAATATTGATAAAAGTTCCAAATACTCAAGTTAGCAAATTAGCAAATTCTAAACAAGATAAAGTAAAAGGAATTTCAGATCATCTAAAATAATGCCAAATTTTAAAAATAGCCAAAGGGAATATGTTTACTAACAAAGCAATGATTAATACATTGTCAATTAATTTGCCACCTATCTGCTAATTTGATTCTCTAATCTGAGTTTAGGGAGCTCTGGTAGCCTAGTAGGTCGAGAGTTGAACTCCTAATCCAGAGGTGACGCCTCTCTGTTGATTTGAATCCACTGATTTCTGAAATCTCACCAGAGGGTCAGCTATGAGTCAGTATCAACTCAATATTAGGAGTGAATGAGTCTAAACTTGTTATTGTTAGATGTCATCTAGTTGAGTGTGTCTCAAAGTGACCATGTGAGCACCAGATCTGAACCCATCCTGTCCTGTGCCATCCTCATCATCTCTAATACACTTGAGTCCACTGTAGCAGTCAGTGTCAGTTCATCTTGTTGAAGTTCTTCCTTTGTTTTGCTAACTTTATACCTTTCCAAGCAAGCATACCTCTTTCCAAGGAGTAGCTGCTCCTAGACAAAGCTTCACCATCCTTGCCTCCAAGTAGTACTCTGGCTGTGCTTTTTCCAAGACATACTTGTTTATTCTTTGGACAGTCCATGGGATGCTGTGTACACTTAACACGACAACTGAGAGACATAAATTCTTATACTCTCATCCTTATTCATTGTCCAATTCTAAGATGCATAGCAAGTGATTGAAAAGATCATAGTCTGAATTAGGTGCACCTTAATCTCCAAAATAATGTCATTGTTCCTCATTAATATGAAGAGGTCCTTGACATCGGAGTTGCCCAATACAATGTCTCATGATCTACCAAGGGTGCTGATTGTGGATTTAAGTAAAATGAAATTGTTGACAATTTTCAATCTTTTCACCATCTATCATGATATTGCTTATTGGTCTAGTGGTGAGGATATTTGTCCTCTTGATGTTGAGGTACTATCCATATTGAAGGTTCTAGTCTTTGCTCATCCACAGCAAGTGCTTTTAGTGTTCTTATGTCATTTGCATAACTTAGATTGATGATGAATCTTCTGATCCTGATGTCACATTCTTTTATAGAGTCCAGCTTCTCTAATGATTTGTTGAGCATGCAGTTTGAATAAGTGTGGAAAAAGTTTTTAACCCTGACACACAGCTTTTTTGATTTTAAACTATAAAGTGCTCCTTGCTCTCTTTGGACAACAGCTTCTTGGTCTTGGTATAGGTTTGATATGTATGTAATTAAATGTTTCTTCTCAGAGTTAGCCACAGTTATGATCCACATAATCAAAGGTTTGCATCATCGATAAAACACAAATAGACATTCTTCTGGTATCCTCTGCTTAGAACCCAACTGATACATTGATATCCCTGGTTTGATTGTTTGTTCTAAACTCAGTTTGGTTTAGAATGTGAGTGTAATGCTCTAGACATTTTTGGATGATCTTCAGCTATATTTTGCTTGCATGTGATATTAATGATGTTGTTCAATACTTACTTAGTCTAAACTTACTAACCATTAATTTGCTAGAAGAAGAATCATAACCTCTTTAAAGTAACAACAGAAAATAACTGACAACTTAAAGTCATTCTGACAAGGATGAAAAAAGTACTTAAGATTGGTAAAGAGCGAGTAAAAAGCTAGAAACATCCATTGGAACTAAAATCAGGATGGTTGAGGAAACAGAATTCCAGACTAAGGTCTAATAAGAACTAAATTATAACATTCTCCTTCTCACCATATGGTTCAGGAATATGAACATGTTTTTTTTTACTCTGAAGTTTAGACTCTGAGGCAGATTATTATCAAGCAAAAAGCTCGTTGTGCTGATTATAATCCTTTGTTTAAAAGATTGTGGTTTGTATTATGCTTTAAAAATTTATATCAATAATGAATAAAAGCAAGGTTTTCTTTTGGTGGTGGTATTAGTGGCATGTTTATAAGGTTGGTAGGTAGGCAGTGGAGAACCATCTAGGATGGCACAAGCCGGGGTACCTCTGTAGAGTCAGGGAAGGCACCCAGATTCAACGGCACATTAATTCCCATCACTGCCACTCTGAGAAATGACCTGAGTGGATACCTTTTGAAGCAAAAACAAGAATGTGACCTGAATTATATTGTGAGGAGTTCACTTTCAAGGTAAGGAAGATTCTTAGATGAAAGTAGGTGGTAGGGAGCCAAGAAATCTTCTGGCACTGCCAAATCACTCAAAAGAATATAATAGTGGAATGGATTGAGAAATTGTGGTACATTCTCACATTGTAATACTATGCAGCACTCAGGAGCAATGGTATTTTAAAATACTGTATAACATGGGAGAGACTAGATAGCATTATATTGCATAAAACCATAAATACTGCATAAGATCATTATAGTAAAACTAATAGTAAGATGTGGATAAAAGTTGAAAGAGAAAAGAGAAAGGATCACAGAGTTTGATGGACAGAGGGAAGGGGGTGAAGGAATTAGGATAGATGTAGTGGGGACCTGAAAAGACTGGGTGATAGTGGGCATAGATCAGTGGTGATTAATTTTATATAACAGAGTGTATGGGAATGAGTGTATAAAATACAATGTGAATAAAGAAATGTGTGAAACACAATGTACCTGAATGAAACATAATGTATACAAATTTTGTAAGCAAACCAACATAAAATTGGAAAAAAATTTTAAAAGGACAAACAAAAGCACTAATAAAAAATAAACTCACTGGCATCAAGTTGATTGCGATTCATAATGGCACTGTGTTGTTGTTCTTATTGTTGTTAGGTGCTGTCAAAGTGACTACAACTCATAGCAACCCTATAAATGACAAATCTGGGCCTTGCCCTGTTCTGACCATCCTCATGCTATACGATAGAGTGAAACTGCCTCATAGGGTTTCCAAGGCTGTACATGTTAATAGAGATGGATTGCCTCATTTTTTTCTCACAGAGCAGCTGACATGTCCAGCCTGCCTTGACCTTTCATTTGTCATCTCAACACTTTACCCTTGTCACCAGGACTTTTCATGAGATTAGAAAGTGGTACATTTTGAACTTTAGGACTAAGATTCCTGTTAAGACAGACCTCAGTCTGATCTTTACATAGTCCCAGCCTTGTGAAGTTGAAAAGGAAGACGAAGTAGCTGTAAGATAAAAGTACTTTTCAAATATAAAAGTTGAGCATTATCCTTTCTTGAATTCTTTTCTTGAGGGCCCCTGACAAATGCATACACATTTTCAAAACAGCTGCTAAACTGTTGCTTTCTCAGAAGGGTCTTCAGATTCCTTCAAACAGAAATATCCTTCATTTGTGTTTCCATAATACCTTCTGCACACGTCTTTGTGGCATTTATGACATAGTATTAAAGACACTCTTTTATTTCCAGTCCAGTATATCTATTTTTGAGGAATAAGTAATGCATACATACCTGAAGAATGACAATTCCCTTCATCCTATCTCTGTTGCACAGTTCAGCCTTTCCTCCTTCCATGCTTACATGATAAACTCAAAACTCAGTGTTGTGAAGTCAGTTCCAATTCATGGTGATCCCCTGCTGGGTCTCCAGAACTTTAAATTATAATGGTAGGAGACAGCACAGTTTTTTCCAGTAGGCTGCTGGTGGATTTCAAATGGACAGAGAAGTACAGCCTTTTGGTAAGAGTGAAATTCGCTATAGGCTGAGCCACCAGAGCTCCCTTGCATAAACAATATTAACTTCATTAATGACTATTTTGAATACTTCCAAATTATGCATATATGAGTAAATTGAAAATGTGTACTCTAATTTTTTTATCCAGGTGATTTCATATTTTATTAGGATGATGATCAGTATATATTTATTGAAAGAAAAAATAGTGTAAATTAAATAGGATTTTAAATATTTTTAAAATTTATTCTAGGAGATCCTCCTGTAGCTCTAGATATAAAAGAAATTGGAGTTAAAGTTGAACACAATCCACTTGGTAGTGGAGAGAAGAGCAAAATCAAAATCCCTAATAGATCACAACACTAGCCTTCTAGGACTTTGTGACCTTTGGGAAGCAGAGGCTCTTACTGTAGTAATGCAATTAACCCTGTTTATGAAGAGATCTGCATCCTACTGGCCATGAACAAACTAGTAGAATTAAGACAGACAAAAATAGTAGAAATCAAGACAGAGTATTAGATTTTGTATTAGATAATTAGAATTATGTAACTAAAATGAGTCTGATATAGTTGTATACATAAGAAGAAATAAGCACTTTTTGGCAAAGTTAGAAAAGAAACTAGTTGAGTTTAGGGAACTCTAGTGGATAAGGAGGTTGGACTGCCATCCTAGAGGCAGGCAATTCAAATCTCCTAGTTCTTCTGATGGATATTCCCTTCCTGCATGATTTACAGCCTTGGAAAACCCACTGGATGGTCAACTCTGAATCACTTCTGACTCAATGGCAATGAGTGTGTGGGAGTTCAGGAGACGTAATCCAAGTTTGGTAGGTATATCATGTTCCCTCAGTAATGAAAGTCGTCCATAGGTATTGGGAGGCTATTAAAGAGGACATTTGTTCTCAACTGCAAATCCATGAAAGTGCCAGATGAGATGAGATATGACATTCCAAGGCACCATAGATATGAGAGCTGTGTGATTGAGGTAGCTGACCAGAGCAGGAAAGGCATTTTCTGCTGACATGTCTCTGCTATCAGTGCCTATTTATCTTGAAATCAGTCCTCTTCCTGGGACATTGCCCTTGGACACTTGAATTTGGGGCATGGATGCAATTTAGAGATTGCTCAGAATCATTCATTACTCTTACTGTGCCCCTGGGTAATTCCTCTTATTTAAGTGGAAATTATCTTTCTACTGGTGCTACTTATATTTTAAGAAGACTGTGGAAAGAGAATTAATTTAGCTGAATCCAGAAAGTTCTTACAAAGCCATATCCATGTCAGCCAGGAAATAACCATGTGTGTCATAGAGCAACATCACAGAATATTCTTCAATAAAAGCAAATGAAATTTATTGTGGGCTTGAGAGAATGCAAGCTAGGAAAATATCAATCAGATTGAAAGTGACCATTCTGCTGGACCATAAACCAGGATACATTCTCAATATTTTTAGAACAGGAACTAAAGTTTATAAAATTCATAATTTTGTCCAAAAGGCTTCAGGAAATTAATGATACAATTTCGAAAAGTGAGAATTTGGCAGTGGTAGATCTTTATAGTATATGGGATTACATGTTTGGTCAAAAGGACAAGGTGGGCCCAGGACAAATTGGATCAGGGTAGAAAGGACTATTTTTTTTGGTAACCTGTTCTACCTTAAGTCAGGTCTATTTCAGGAGGTCTCTTGTAAAGATTTAGACAGTATCTACCAAGACGCTTCTGGAATTGAAGAAATATCCTTCATATGCCAGACCTCTTAGAGAAGGAACATTGTTCTTATGATACATGATCAGGTAAAGCGACTGCCACTTGAAAAGGCAACTGTAAAAAATCTAATATAGATTCTGCACTCATGTCAGGACTTTAAAATGGGTTGATCCTCTGCTTTCAGATAACCCCATTTTTACACAAGCCAAGTGCTTCTGACTAAGACATGCATATGTATGATGTAACATTTTTATTTTTTAGAAACAAAGCACCTAGTACAAGTTTTCAAAATCTAAGAGCCTCCTAGATAAAAACACTTTTACATGTTAAGTGAGATTTACCACATTGCCAGCCATGTTGTTTATTAAAAAAAAAAAGATTAATTTATTATTACTATAGGGGTTTATTTCTCTGAAAAACAAACAAACCAACCAACCACAAGTGCATTAGCAAACAGATGAAAATGACTACCTCAAAGTAAGTGACCAAAAGGGCTGATCAGTGAGTCCTAAACATAGTCTCATAACTGTATTTTATCTGTCAGTTGACAACCAAAGTTCATTTTAAAGTATAATTTAAGTAGTTTTTAGATTTATATGCTTTTAGAAAATACTTTGTTGTTGTTGTGTACTATTGAGTCAAAACTAACCCATAATGACCCTTCAGTGGGTTTTCAGAAGCAGTAATCACATGGGAGTAGATTACTCATCCTTCTCCTGTGGAACAGCTTGTGGGTTTGTGCTGCATGCCTTTGGGATTGCAGTACAGATTCTTACCACTTACCACTTTGCATTCTTACCACTTGCATTCTCTGTATGCTTTCAGGGAAAACTAACTTGAGTAGTAGTATATTATGAAAAGTGGGGGTTAGTTTGAGAAGGAATTAAGACTAACCTTGACTTTGTGGCTCAGAACTAAGAGATTTCATTCAAGGCCTTGATATCTGATTTTCAGTCTTCAAATGAGAGATCAAATGTAATTTTTTGCATGTTAAGACAATTGTCAGCTAGGAAATTATTTTAATAACTTGGGGGAAAAGAAAAAGAATAGTTGTCTGGCCTTCATATGCTATGGCAGAAAATGTGAGGTTTAGAACATTTAGAATTTAGAGCATTTAGAATGCTCAGGCAAAGTTTAGGGGTCAAAAATGTTCTTTTTTAAACACGAGTTGAAAATGTCAGCTAATGCTCAAACTGTTCCCACTCCAAGGGGAAGCAAAGATCGAGTTTATGTACAGAGATTGGGCATAGGGGAGGGTTTGTTACACAAAGTTCACTGTAGTTGGCAGTTAAAATTTCTTCACATTTGGGAGTCGTTATTGTTTCTGATTTCTCGTGGTTGTCCAGGCCCTGGACCAGGTGTAGGATATAGTCAGAGAGTAGTAACCAAGCTGGGTAAGCGTGTACTAGAGAACATAAAGCTTAGCAGCAAATGTTATTGCCAAAATTATTGAGGCATATATGTCTTAAAATGGCTTTCAGGGCAAAATTATTTCTCTAATGTTTAAAATGGCTTCTCTAATGCCTAACATATAAGCTGCTACTACATATCATGATTATTCTGTGATTGATGGTTGAGGTGGAGATAACTGTGGTACTCTTATTAAAAAATCAGGTACTGTGGTTGGTTGGAAATCAGAATACAAGGATATTAAGTTTTCTGTAAAGCAATGTAATATTTGTTTAACAGACTTCTTTCAGTTTGACTACTTGGCTCATCAGTTAACTTCTCATTCAGTCTGTTTGTTTGTCTCTAATTTCAATAACCTGACAAAATGTGTATGTCAAACATACATTTATATCATTATATACTATAGATTTGTGAGTCAGCTTCCATTCTTGAAGAAAATTACCATTCTATTTTTTCTGGGTTGTAACTGTAACAAGTTTTAACATATTTTTAGCATTTTAGCCATTTAATTGGAGTAGGTATGAAAAATTTAAATACTCACTTGAATGAATAAAAGTATTGGGGGTGTGCATGTGTGTATATACACACATACATATATGTTATGTATATATGTATATGTGTGTATATTGTTGTTTGTTGTTAAGTGCCATCAAGTCTCAGGTGACTCATAGTGACCCTATGAAGGAGAGTCCTCGATGCTTAGGGGCCTTTCATCCTCTCTCCAGGTTCCTAGGCTTTCCAGAGGCAAGCTATTATGGAAGTGGGTGCCACTCCTCCTTCCAAGCTTGTTTTAATCAGAGAGCTCCACCCCACTCTCTGTCTGCATTTGTTAGCCAACCATTAACACATTTGACACATCAGTGTCACAGTGTTCAGCCTCACAGCAACCACAAGTTACCGCTGTATGGCAACTTGTACACCAGGACTATAGGACCTAGAGTAATGTCTGAACAAAAACAATGAAAGACTGGCCCGAGGGCTACAGATTAAAAGTCACCCACCTTCGGCTTGGTAGCATTACCTTCTGTCCACTGGGCCAGCTGATCTCTCTCTTTTCTCTCTGTTGATGTTATTGTTAAGTGCCGTTGAGCTGCAGGCAACTCATAGCGAACCTATGAAGGAGAGTTCTCAACACTCGGGTGTCTCTCATCCTGTCTCCAGGTTCATAGGGTTTCCAGAGGCAAGCTATTATGGAAGTGGATGCCACGCCTCCTTCGAAGTGTGTGTGTGTGTGTGTGTGTGTGTGTGTGTGTGTGTGTATGT